GGCTGCGAGCCCTGGGGCTGCCAGCCCTGCTGGGTTTTTTCTGCTCTTTTAGTCGGTCTAACCTGGGATGCTGCTGGTGCCTGTGAACCGTGTCTCACCGGTGTCTGTCGCCATCCCAGCCATGCGGTAACGTCACTGCTTTAAACGCTGGCAGATTTACCCCGCGTTTGCAGCCGTGGTGCTTTTCAGAGAATCTCATTTTCCAAAATTCATGGAATTTCTGAAGCGCCACCTTCTCCGGTGTCACAGCACCGCTGCTCAGGCCAGCCTCTAGCCCAAAACTCACTCTGCACCGATGCTGCATCCCGATCAGCTTCACCGCCCCCGTGGGCTGAGCCGCAGCCCCCCCGCCATTGCCAGCGAGCCCCCTGCGCAGCTTCACCTTCCCGCCCCTGCCTTACCGGCTTCGCCTGCAGCTTCGTTCACCCCGCCCCGAGCCGCTTCGCTTCGCAGGGAGGAATGAAGGAAATGTTGTAAGGTTGGGCTTTGGTTCTCAGAGAGCTTCACTGGACACCGATGGCGTGGGCTAACAGCCAGGAAACGTTTCAAGCAGCGCTTGCTTTACATGTGCTTACGCTCCTTCCTTTTGGGATAAATGGCCACGGTTGCACTGAAGCATGCGTGTGAGGCGTCGCCACCGCCAGCGCTTCCAGTAAGCTGCAGAGCCCGGCCGGTTGCTCCCCGATGTTGCTCCTGGGAACCTGTGGCAGATGCTCTCTAGCACAGCAAGTGGCAGAACTTCCCATCGCTGCCTTACTACGGTGATGGACACATGGAGGACTGCGAGGCCACCCCCGGCAGCGGCGCAGGGAGGGCAGGGACCGTCCCTCTGCAGACCCTGCGGGGCGTTGAACCGTCGCAGTGCACTGGGCTGGAAGGCGCCGGGCTGGGCTGGGGGTGTTGGAGCTCAGGAGGAACCAGGGGGGTGCAGAGCGAGACAGCAAGTGCTCGTCCCGTTTCTCGGGGCTCTGAGCACGTTGGTGATGGGTGATGCCTCTCATTTGGCCATGAGAAATTGCATAAGGAGTCGTGACTGCTGTTCTGATGACAGCCCCGTCATGGAGATGTGCCCGTCACACCACCACTGGGTCCAGTGAGATGCTTTGAAGATCACTAGCTGAAGCTCCGGCCAGCCCATCACATAGGTTTACCCTTTCCCCAATATCCCACCATGCTGCTGTTCCCCTTACGCTCTCTCTGGAGCATCCCCCTCCTCTGCAGCATCCCCCTCCTCTCTCTGGAGCATCCCCCCGCTCTCTCTGGAGCATCCCCCTCCTCTCTCTG